TGAAGCTTTCTTTGTGATGATGTGTTTGTTTGTTGTATTCCCCTTGCCCCCTTACTCCAAGGAGGCTTTGGCCTGTTTGGAGTAGTGTTGTTTTTCTTTTGCTGCTAGTTTTGCTGACCTATGCTCTGGGTTCTTTTGCTGAGCTTCAGCTATTCATACTTGTGTATTTCTTGGGAAACATCTTTGGCAACTGTTTATTCCTTGGTGCAGCATACGATGCGGTTGCTCATTAAGTGAACCCTCAGGTGGCTCAACAACTTCCACGAATCTGGTGTTATTATTTAATGTTATCTTAATTGCGGTAGTCCAACGGTCGTCCCCGTGTGCTATTTATTCCCAAGTGCTTTGAGTTTTTGTGTTCTCACTGTCCTCCAAAAATCTTCTTTCCTTGAACTCTTTGCCTTCTTCCAGTGCTTCTTCTTAACTCCTTGGATTTATGGCTCCTTCCCTATTGTTCAAATAGCGAGCTCGAGAGTTGCTGAAAAGCGATTGGTGATCCATCTTCCTTTTCCCCTCCCTGCTTGCTACTACGAACGTCGATGATATAAAGAGCCGATACGACTTCCCTAAGGATCTAAGGGTCAAAGCCCCTACCCCGGATGAGCCCTGTAGCATATCTTCTCTAGATGAGGTTGCTTTCTTTGAGGGTGTATTTGAGAGTGGCCTCCGACTCCCCCTTCATCGAGATATCACCTGGGTTCTCTCCCACCATGGCTTATGTCCCTCTCGCCTCTCTCTTGAGGGATAGGCTACCTTGATCAACTTCTTCATCTTCTGGCGCATGCAGAGCTTTGACATCTTTTCCACTGTCTCCAAATTCTTCTATTTCCTTGACCTCTCCTTCGACTTTCCTTCTTTCTTCAACACTCTTTCTTGGAAATGGTATTTCCATCCTCATTTGGTTGTTGATATTTCCCTTTCCTCTGAGGGCTGGACCCAACGTTTCTTTTTCATTTCTGGGGACTCGTGGGAGTCTGTTGTGAGTGAAGATCGGAGTGTCTAGGCCCCCCGCTCTTGGGTGAGCTTCCGTGAAAGAGATAAGCGTATTGATGGTTTTTAGTTAGCCAACTTTAATTGGCAAATGTTGTGCTAAACCTGTTTTTTGTTGGCATCGCACTGTGCAGGTATTCCCAGCCTTACTCTGTTGGTGGCCTTCAATGTCAGCATGGTCGAGAAAGCCTCTCCCATCCCCTACTTTGTCATTGTTACCCCCCAAAATCTCATTCATTTCGGTATTCTCATATCTAGGTTTTAACAAAAATAAACATGCAGGTAAGGGTGCTCATAGATCAGTTGACTACATGTCGATAGTGAGAAATCGATGTGAGATTCCTTCAGACCAAATCATTCATTGGCACACCAAAAAGTCTCTTTCAAGGCCTAAAAGATGCATTGCATAAGAAGATACGTCTGCAAGCCTAGCCCATGAGTTCCTCTCTTGAGGCAATCCCAAGCAGTTCATCCGATGTTTCGTCATATGAATGAGTCTTGTGTGACTTCTTTCTATAATTTGTTCACTTGAGTACAACGACCCGCCTTAGTCCAAAGGGGCCCTTGCCGCTTGTTGCGAGGAAACGACTCTCCTTATTTTCTATAGGCACCACCAGGAAAAAGTAAGGCACCCAAAGATTGGCAACATGAGATTCTCCTCATAATCAACACCATAAGTGTTTTACTGTCCTGTTTCCAAATCCTAGACTCTCTTATTTTTCATGAGTAAACCCAATGCTGCACCCAAAAAAAGGTTCTTTTTCATTAGCTACATCATCACCTATCTCTTTGCATTAGCTACGTGCAAATTAGTGATACTTTTGTCCCTTTGGCCTAGTTTTTTATTCTTTGTTGTACATGTTTTAATGCAGAAGGACAGAAAAGCCAAAGGCATGAGAGAAAAGTGTTGGCCATTTTATCATGAGTGGGGAAACATATTCAACAAAGACAGAGCTACTGTAGAGTTAGCACGTGATCTTGAGGAGATGGTTGCACCCGGAGAAAGAGAACATTCATGCGCATTATCAATTCGAAGAACAACTAACTTAACGTTATATATCACAATCATTCACATAAACATAATGCATAGTCGGTTTGATCTTTTATAGGCTTTGTGTAAAGTCATTTTCATTAGAACTACTTGATTCAGTAATAGTAGTTACGCGTCAGACAAATAGTTAAAATACATAAGTGAAACTGAATTTGTTCATGTCAATATGAAAATATTCATTCCATTAAGTATCAAACTAGACAAAGTATACGAATGTAACAATACATGAACTAACAATAAAAGAAGGTAAATACTGACTACATTAATGTTTTGAGTTATCTATTAGTTTAACCATGAGTTAGAATAAACACATATTCTAAGAAGCAATAAGTAGTACTATTGTGACTCTCCTTTAAGTAGTAATCACGATATACTAATATATTAATCACGATATACTAATACATTTATCATTACGGTGATTCTCTCTCACCTAATAGGACTAATTCATAATATATTCATAATTAGGTAGGTCCATCACCTTTGGGCATCCGTTCCACACCTATTATGAATATACATCAATAATCATATTTCAATTAATTAATCACTTGATTAAGAAACTGCAATTTGCAAGTCATTATTTTAATACCTCGGTAATAGGTGTTAAATATCAATTATATGATTCAATACTTATTAATCATTATATTTGGGTCATTTTTGTGGCTACCGAACTATCATAATATAGGCATTAAATTAAAATAATGACATTGTACAATCGATTATATTAATATCACGAGATAATTGATATTATAATCAAATTATACGATTCAATATCTACGAGTCATCCTATTTGGATCACTTTGGTAACTACCAAACTATATCACAATATAGATTTCGAATCAAAATATTACATTATATAAACTATTATTTTAATATCTTAATGATGGATATTAAATATTAATTATGTGATTTAAAATCTATGCGCGATTCTAATTGGGTCACTTTGACGACTACCAAACTACATCGTTATATAGATTTCGATTCGAAATAATGAATTTAAATAAATCATAAGATTAACAATAATCCACCTGTTGACAGATTACCCATATCAACATTCAGGGGTAACATGAAGTTAAACAATTACAGAAACTATCATTAGCATGAATCTCAATGATTTTAATTAGGTGGACTTTCCTTGTTGTACTCCTACTATATATGTGAGTGAGTACAAAAATCTAGAGTTCAAATACAAGGTTATATCTGTCATTATATTGCACCGACTACTCTTTAAGAATTGAACCAAAAATATAATGTTTTTGCGAATTGCATCAGACTAATAGAACTCATAACAATATCACTACAATTTAGCGCAACCTTGATTCATGCTACGGTTCACAATGATGGTAATTAAAAATATACTTCTTTAATGAAAAATCACGAGAGATGCTCTTATATCACATGTAAACTTTATTTGATCAAATGAATCAATCAAACCCTAATTCCAAGATCTAGAACAATCACGAGTTTTACATATCAATTATGCAGAATGAAAAATATCATAACATCATAATTTACAAACCTGGAGTCTTAATTGCAAACCTTGAATTACTTGATCAAGAATAATCATCTTTTAGTATAGCCTAGAATTCGGTTTCTCTCTCTTGACCTTCATTCTTACGAAATATAACTCGATAGAGCATATGTTTATTTATAAGTAGAGAAATGACCGATTTCTTAGTTCAACATAAACTTCACTTCCCATCAAAATAAAAACATCAGGGAGCCACTTCTTCTCATTGACCAATTAGAAACCATTCGTTACCCGGTTAGATTAGGATTGGTAATCTTATCATTATCTAACCTAACCTAATTATTCGATAATAATCGGTAAAATCATATGTGCCGAATTATGTGGGCCACATTAATTCTTACAATTAATTATTTAATCATAAAAATTATAGAATATGGTCCAAATAGTATCTTATCCAATTTGATAAAATACGAAGATGCTTGAAGCACAACAACACAAGTATAAGAAGCTCTCCACATAATTCAAATTCTGAATGAAATTTGTCATTGCTTATCTATGGCACCGTTGAGCTGTCTCAATAAGGTATAATTACTTCATATTGTGGTTCCAAGGCTACAAAAGAAGGTCACTTTCTCTTGCAAGGATTAACTCTCTCACCATTCATACTCTCTTTTAATTTTCCCTATGTAGATAGTAAATATTTGACCAAATTTTAAGAAATGCACACGAATAGCTTGTCGCCTCTTGATATTGAATATTTGTATTGAATTTAGATGAAAGATTAGTCAAAAAAAATTATTCCAAAAAAGTATCGTAATTTAGGATTACTTATTCAATTGAAAGGATTCTACTTGTTAAATCACTAGAAATTAACATAAGTAAATTAGATATAAAGTCCTCAAATTATGATTTTTGTGTCAATTAAGTTTCTAAATATTTTTTTTTATTAATTAAGCCACTGAACTCTCTAATTGTATTAATTCAGTCATTCTGTCTACCCCGTTAGAATGTGTCACTCACGTGACTATATGACACAAAAAGACAAAAATGTTCAATTGATATAATTAGAAAGTTCAGAGGCTCAATTAATATAAAAAAATTTAGGGACTTAATTGACACAAGAATCATAGTTTAAAGGTCATATATATAGTTTTATTCCAACCATTCGCATGAGTGACACATTTCACTATTTTCTGTTAAAAAATATAATGGAAGCAGATACAAGCGCTCAATAACACAATTAGAGAATTTAAAGGTTCCATTGATACAAAAAAAAAAGTTTAGAAACTTAATTGACATAAAAATTATAATTTGGAAGTTATATGTAAGTATAATTTAGTCAATTAACGTACAAAAAAGTTATTTAGTACATATAAATTCCTAAGTAAATAAGCTGCTTTTTGGTAATTTCAAAGTCTCCCACGTGATAAACACGTGGATGAGCTTCCTATAAGTATCCGACTTCTATTCTTCCGCTCGTAAACCCTAGAACGGCAGATCGTTTAGCTGGTGCGCTCTGGCGGTTAATTTGATAATCGATGAATTCAGGAGTAGATGGTGATTTTAAGTTTCAGTGTTTGCAGTAAAAGTTAATAGATTTTCACTTTTGATTGATTTGGTTCAGGTGAATAGGTATATTCGGATTTAGGGTTTCTTGGTTGATCAATGGCTCCTGCTAAAGGTATGTAAATGATAATCCCTGTTTTAGCATTATATATCCGACCAGTGTTCATTTTTAAATGATACTATTGCTGTACTGTTTTTTTTTCTTTTCTACAATCTGTGTATAAGTGGAAACATTTCCACTGAATCGTTTTATATTGGGAAGAAGTGAATCTTGGGTGTAAAGAAATGGTATTTTTCCTTGCTTATTAATTATGTTCATCGATATAAATGTGCCTTAGGGTTATACATGTATTTTCTTGTAGACTTTTCTGAAAATATTTCGCATAATATTTTACCATTTAATGAAAATATTGGATCCTGTTTTAGTTTGTTTTGGTGTGGATTTGACTATTTGAAAATAGCTAGGCAAGTGTTAATATTCTTTTCTGTTAGAAATTTGGGGGAGACTGATTTGATAAGACATGGAAGATTCTGTTGCAAACCATGTAAAACTCATTATGAGTTTCATCAAAAGCTTTTGTTCACGAGAGATGTCCTATTTATCAAGTCTTGTTTTGAGGTTAGATATTGAATGCTCTGTGGATTCTAATCATTCAAAAGGTCCAGTGTATCTGAAGTAGATCTAAGGGAGTTGAGAAACTGATGGATAGTAGTGGCTTGCAAGCGTGGACAATTAATCATTTTTCACCTTGTTTTGCATAGGAGAGAGCCATTTGCTTGGCCTTGGCTTGCACACTCTATATGTAGTTCTGGGTTGTAGGTTCACTCATGGTCACATAACTTTGTTACCTTTAAAGGATGATGGTCTGGAACTTGGTCCATTTAATATGCCCTACTATGCATGCTTGGCGTAATATATCCCAATGTGCTCTTGAACTAACATTGTATGCAAACCGTTTTATTTTGTTATCTTCAATAAACATGTTTGTTCGTATGCAGCGGACGCTATGAAAAAATCTGATCCTAAGGCCCAGGCCTTGAAAGCAGCGAAGGCTGTTAAATCAGGTTCAGCAACCTTTAAGAAGAAGGCCAAGAAGATGCGCACTAAGGTTACATTTTATCGACCAAAGACATTGAAGAAGGATAGGAATCCGAAGTACCCTCGCATTAGTGCTCCCCCAAGGAACAAGCTTGATCAGTACCAAATCCTAAAGTATCCTCTCACCACTGAATCGGCGATGAAGAAGATTGAAGACAATAACACACTGGTTTTCATTGTTGACATTCGTGCTGACAAGAAGAAGATAAAGGACGCAGTCAAGAAGATGTATGACATTCAAACCAAGAAAGTCAATACCTTGATCAGGTACTAAATTTTCACTCTATCTTTATGTGTTTTAACCTGTGTCCGCTTGTTGTGTGTGTGAGTTTTCATGTCCTTAATTCCTGCTCTTGGGCAAGTTGAAATCATTACTACTGACCTAAAAAAGTGTGTGTGTGTAATGGTGATAGCATGATCAGCTGTTGAAAAGTATCTGGTTTATTCTAAAAAATGATCATAGGAGTTCGATATTCTAAAATTAGTATCCTTGTGTGTGGATGCATGGATACACACAACTTTTGCTCGTCATTCTGATTTCTGTGATTGCCTAAACACGTAACATAATACACGAATGGTTATTTGTACCATCAGTTGTATATGGTTGTAAAAGAAGGCAATTTGTTGCGTCACTGATGCGCTTTGCCATATGTTTGGGGTAGCGCATTCAACCCTTTTCGTTGCCAATATGTGTCCAATGGATGCGAGTGATATATGCTTGCATGTGCCATTTTCATATACGGTCGGTGCACTAATATGCTCGTATATTCTTATACATAACGGATTATCAAATTAAATAAATAAATAATTAAACCTTTTACCTCCGATAAATCATGTAATTAGTTATAGAAAAATTCGCATGCCATTAGTACGAAAGTCTGTGGCAGCGACTTTATTAAAAGATGACATTTCACAAGCTTAATGAATTAATTTCACATAATTCTGAGACAACCTGTAACTATGCAAATATCTATCAGCTATGATGCATATGGATGTCTTATGTAAGCATAGGCGTTCCATTGCCATTTGCATATTCATCAAGTGCAATTTGCAAACAAGCAATAGATATGCCTCTGATTTGTGCTTGATGAGGTCGATATCTTTAGTGTTCTTGTAATGATGTAGTTTATTTGTAACAAGCATCTTGAGACGATGGCTTCAATATTTAGGCATGAACTTGTGTGCTTTCAAGTGCTATGCCAAACAGAATAATAATTGTTTGATTCAATAGCCAATGAAGTCTTCCCCCCCGGGGGGGTTTATAGTAGGGGTGCAATTCGGGTGGGTTGAAAGGTCAACTCTAGCCCAATCACAAGTATATAATCTTCAACCCTAACTCGAATCCGATTTCAACTCGAGGTACTCAACCCGAATACTACCTAAATTGAATTCGGGTTGAGTTCGTTCAAACTCGAAATCAACCTATTTTTCTAAACCGTTACATCTAACACACCACAAGAAAATAACACACCACAAAATAGCACAACAACCACACAGCCACTACCACAACCACAACCACAACCACCACACTATACCCACTACCACAACAACTACATCATACAAAATTTGAGAGGCGCAGATCTGAGAGATCTAAGAGGAAGATGGTGATGTTATTAGCTGCACAAATCCCAGATCTAAGAGGAAGATCACAAATTTTAGATATGAGAGGAAGATTGTAGACCTTAGATCTTCGAGATCTTCGTCTTCGATTATTTGGATCGTAGATCTAAGATCTGAGAGATCTTCATCTTCGTCTGGGGAAGGGTGACGTCTGAGAGAGGCTTAGAGAAGTGAAACCGAGAGAGTTGCAGAGGCTAAGAGAATTTTGGGAATCCTAGTTCCCTTATGTGCATTATATATATATATATATATATATATATATATATATATATACATATAT